GGAACCGCCTAGCCCCGCCCACTCCCCGCCCACTGCCGCGGCCTCGCGCTCCTCTTGGTTCGTCCAACCGCACTTCTGCTCTCCCCTCGAAGATGCCCCGCCCAGGCTCCTCGTTCCAGAGCGCCTGCGCCCCCTGCAGGCAGTTCTCGCCTCTGCAGCGGTCCAAGGCGCTTGCCTTGGTCACAGTCCACCTAGAGCGCCTGCGCCTGCTGGGATCCTCTGCCCGGGAAGAAAGGAACATGCTGAACTTAGCAGGTGTAGGGATCCTGATAGTTGAGGTGCAAGGCTTAGAGCTCAGCGCTTAAGTCAGGTGCAGGATGTTGGTCGCCTGGGCCTTCCAGCCTTGTGCAGGTGATCGCACCAGAAGTCAGAGGTGGCAGCTGAGCACATGGGCGTCCACATGGATGTGTACATGGATGAGCATATCAAGCCCTTGCCTTGACGCACCAAAGCCCTTCTAGAACCAGCTCACCTGAACCTGTTCCTGTATTCGATTCCTGGTACCAAAAAAAGGAAAAAAAGAAAGAAAGAAAATCCTCTGTGGCCTCTCTCCCTGCCTACTCAATCTCTAACCATTCCTCCAACCTTGAACCATTCCCGTGGCTGCCGAAATGAAGCTTCTACCCGTAAAACAAAACCTCCCTTCTGGACTTCCCTTCTGGACTTCCCAAATAGGTTAATGGTACCCACGTATCAGTCCAGTGTGCACTCCTCCCCGTCCCTTTCTCCCTGCCCCCTCCATCCCTCCTCTGCTAGGGGACTAATACCCATGGCCATGCACAGAACACATGCTAGGCAAGTGCTCTGCAACTAAACTACAGCCTCAACCTATCTATAGTACTCTTGGTTTGTCCCATAGTCCATCCACAAGCCTCAAAGGTAGTTATTTCCTCTTCACTCTTGGCACTTTCCCACTTGACAACTTTTGATACTCCTTTGTCACTTGCAAAATATCTTTCCCACGATCTGGTAGTACTACCTGTTACCTTCCCTTGTTATTGTCACCTACTGACTGCCCAGCATTAGTTTTCTGTAGGGAACAGGGAAAGGGGACGTTACCAGAACCTCTGCATCAGGTCCTACTCTCCTGTGAGCCACGACAGCACGAGTTAACTTATTATACAGGAAAGAGAAAAAATGAGCCTTTGAGAAGAAGCTGAGCTTGAGCCTGATCAGTGCTGCTCTGGGCTGCAAAGCTGAAAGCTTGCAACCCCTAGCTTACTACACCTTTATTCTGTACATACATTAGGAGAAAACAAATGTAACAGAACACTCAGAACATAGAGTTCAGTACACCACAATAACAAACGTAACAGGTCACTTAGAACAGTGAGTTCTGTACACTGGGGAAAACAACAAATGTACAAGGTGATTTAGAGGGCAGTGGGGGCAGCAGCAGCAAAAATCCTAGAGCAATGAGGAACTATGCAGATGAAGATTTTGTTCCTCCCAGGATGTCTTCAGCGCATACAGTCTTGTCCTGGACCATCACAGCATCACCAGACCCTTGAGGTCTTAACTGTGACTGGAGGCCAAAATGGAGCTATGTCTTGACATACCGTAGCTGGCCTATAGGCAGGAGAACTAGGCCTAATCAAATGATTTTCCCCCAAAATTATATAGAATTGCTCCCGACAGTTTTCCTCTCCCTGAGTCAATGCCATCATCCCAATGAAACCACGTGTGACTGACCTATGTTGCATCTTCCATCAACCCAGATGAACTTCACCTTTACTTTGTCCATCCATTTCCAGTCTCATACTCTAGAAAATCTAGGTATGAGTCACCTTACTCTCCTCCATCTCTAAAATCTTGTATTTTCAAATCCCATTTATTTGGACCCACAATCCTCATCCTTACTGTACTGTATCTCCTTTAGTGTCTCATCTGTCATGAAGCGATACTCAAGCCCATGACCTTTGACTCCAACCACTTTTGTGAGGACAGGCCCCTTCCCTTGCCTTTTGCCACATTCTAACATCAAAACTACCACCTTAAAATATTTCAGTTATCTACATTTTTGTTTCTTACATCTGTCTGCATTTCCACACTGTGTGTATGGGAAAGTGACACAATTATGAAAGACCGATGCCACTACAAATTTATATACACTTGCCACAGTGAAGAGCCTTGCTGCCTCTTAGTAATCCTTATATATGACCACTTTATGTGCTCTCTCTTATTCCCAATAATTTTACCACAATCCCTTGCTGCTTTCTTTAAGCCCTGTATCAATTATCATTTTCCTCTCTTCATAAGTGACTTTGCTTCCTGTTCTGCAGAGAAACTTCTTCACATGGTATATAAAATGTTTTACTTTTTTTTTTTTTTTTAAATCGGGGATCGAACTCTGGTCCTTGCATTTGCAAAGCAGGTGGCAGAACCACCGAGCTAAATCCCTGGCCCAAATTATCTTTGTTTGTTTTGTTGTTGTTTGTGGGTTTTGTTTTTTTTTTTTTGTTTTTTTTTGAGACAAGGTCTCACTATGTAGTTGAGACTGACCTGGAACTCACTATGTAGTCCAGGCTGGTCTTGAATTCACAGCAATCCTCCTGCCTCAGCCTCCCAAGTGCTAGGATTACAGGCGTGCACCACCACACCTGGCGCGTTTTACTATTTGGTTCATGCTTACCTCTAGTCCCTCTCCTCCTCTCTGGCCATATTGATACTATTGCAATTTAAGAATGAATAACGTGGCGGGGGGATTTAGCTCAGTGGTTTTGCTGCCTGCTTTGCAAGCTCAACGTCCCAAGTTCAATCCCCAGTACCAAAAAAAAGGATGAAAAATGTGGGGCCTGGGATTTAGCTCAGTGATGTGGCCACCTGCCTTCAACATGCATTGATCTACTGAGGAGTTCAGACACTGAATGCCCTGGTAGGAGGTGGGGCCCAGTCTGAAGAAGTGGGTCACTGGGGATGTGAGTTGGAAGAGTGTATTCTTATCCCTGGCTCCTCTCTTCTTTACTTCCCGGCCACTATGACATGAGCAGCATTTCATCCATCATGAAATGCCATGCCGCTTCTGCCTTGGAGATGAGTGACCATGGACTGAAACTGTGAGTCAAAATAAACTTCTCCTCCTTAAAGTTGTGGTGTTGGATAATGTGTCCCAGTGACAGGAAAGTGTTTTGTTACATAGATTATAGCAGATATTGGTCTTGTTGTGCCATGAGCATCTTCATTAGCACTTGTACCTCAGGAGTGATAAAACCAGGTGAGTTTTCTGTTAACTAGGTGACTTCAGTTGTGTGGCTTAATACTGTTAATAAAATTGGGTGGATAATGCCTTGCTGGCCCTGTCTCTTCCTCCCACTGTACAGGCTCTTTTGTGGGTATTGTTATTTGTTTGCCTTTGCTTTGCCAATGGTTTTGTCAACAGCAGAGCATGGACAAAAATGGTGTATATCGCTTGAAAGAAAATGTTTTTAGATGGGCTTATGCTGCAAATCCCTCTTTGTTCATTTAGTCATTGCCTTTATGTTTCTTTTCCTTTGAGATGGAGGACAAATTCCTAAACAAAGCTTGGTGGCTGCTATCAGCCCTTTGATACCATAAATTATTTCTGATGGACTCTTGGCCCTGGTTCTGCATGTCACATATTTGTGACTTAAAAAAAATTGATGTGGACTTCCAGGTATGGTGGTTCACACCTTCAATCCCAGCACTTGGGAGGCTAAGGCAGGAGGACTGCCATGAGTTCAAGGCCAGCCTGAACTGCATGATAAGACCCTGCCTCAAAAAAACTAAATATTATTATGTGGAGCATCTACATTAATGCAAGGCTAAAATACATGACTAGATTAGACTTAAATCTTAATTTTATTGCCAATATTTTTAAGTTTAGGTTACCTTTACTTAAATGTTCACTGCCCCCAGATGCTCTCCAAATCCTTAATAGATTCAGTTCACATATCTCTTACTATCATAAAGTCTGTTTTTGTAGTCTAACACAACTCCCAAACCACTTCAAAATCATTAAGCTTTCAAAAAAATTCATTTTCCTGAGGAATTTGCTTTTCAACCCCACATTTATAGATATCCCATAGTGTTACTCCAATTGTCACTCTCCTTTGGACTGGAGGAAAAGAGAACCCTACGGTAGATTTTATAACAATACAATAAAATATTTAGCACTTTTCCCTTCCCAGACCTCCCATTATCAATTTTAAAAAGATATAAGTGACTTAAAGTATATTTCTACTGGCAAAAAAAACTAACAATACATTAAATTGCATGTCTGTCCATTCTATAGTATAGCAGTATCTCTAGTAAGAAGCAAACCAGGAAGGGACTATGCTTCTGAGCATCCTG